CATTTCCGACTTATGACCATTTTGACTTACGACCTGGATGTCGGTCCCTAACCCCGTCGTAAGTCGGGGAGCAGCTGTATTCACATATTTCATAAAACCTCAGTGTGTGAGATTGGTGTTGTCCTGAAATATGTTCAGTAAAATTCTCCTTTGCATTGTTAAAGAAAATGTAGATACTTTCGAATGTGGAATGTTTGACAAGAGGTATTTTAGGCAAAATTTATTTTAGATTAAAGAATGACAGGATATTTTTTCCCACTCTACCAAAAGCTGATTCAACACAGCTGAAACTTTAGAGATGTTGAAAATTTATTTTATAGAAATGCCTGTCTCATGGCTTGTACTACACACTTCAGTTTATCACATAACTATTGACTCTACACATTTTTCTCTACATCTCTTGTATTGGATAATTCTTGAAATGGATAAAGTGCATTCATTATCTTGGGTAGAATCTCCTTTACTATTCAAGCTATTGGCAGTTACTGTCTATCTGCCATTCTGTGCACCAGTTTCTCTATGAATTATACCCTGTCACTATATCCTGCTATCATCTGACTTTCAGCCATAATATTTTGAAGTTCTTCCAAAGATTTGAGCATCCCAGATATTGGTGTTGGAAGCAAACACAAAAGTATGACATGATCAAATACTAATAATTTAAAAAAGAAAACATTAATTTGTTTTTTCAATCAAATCTGAGAATGTTTCCAATATATGACAGAAGAGTCCATCAGCTAAATGAGTTATTTTTATTTGCCCCTTAAATACAGGACATTAATGGTGTGGTGTTTTATCTGTCAGATTTGTTCATTCCTGCTCCTTTAATAATATTTATCATATTATGTATCACTGTAATTTATTACAAAAGTCAGGCCGGGTTTGATTTTAACCCTTAAGCCCTGGGTTAGGGTGCTGCTGGCAGTATCCCCCCAGCGGGGATAAAAAGAGAAAAATCAACCTTTAAAAAAAGAAGAAAAAGCGTCGCAGGAATAGGCGGACGTTCTGGAACGTCACCCGGGGTCTAAGGGTTAAGAGAGATAACATTCAGTTGTAGATTTATGTCTCTCCAAGTTACCAGAATTTGTGAACTTCTTCACTTTTGGTCATTAACACCAATTTCCTCTGATATGTATGAATTAATGATATCTTGTTATAAGTATGTTTTATGACTTATTCCCCAATGAACTTGTGGGATGATCCTATAGAGAATTATACTCTTATACATCAGCCACCCCCCACCGTATTATCCTCACATATTGAATGCTGACCAAGAACCCAGCCTTTTCGGGTACTCTGTTACCATTGTGAATGTTTAACATTAAATTTTATAAAGTGTGCTCAGGGATTCAGAAGAAGACAGAGAGGTTAAAGAAGTTTTTCCATCCATTAGCTTCCCCTGACTTATGTATAGTGGATTATAGTAAGTGAGGAGGAGGTACTATTCAGTAAAGCCTCAAATAACGACAGTAATGTGTCCTTCAATATTGCAGTGTAAGGTGAATCATCGTACCGTGAATTATTAATTACCATTAAAATAAAGCAATAATAATGAGATGCATTCCAAAGTCTGACATTTTCATATCTTTTGTGTGGCTTTTACCCTCTTAAAATAATGTTTATGAATGCACCTTATACAATATAAATCAATAATAATATGGTCACCCAAGAGGAGATGGGTTGCCATTGTTGTTGTCAGTGTTTACTGCCATAGTGTCAGTTATCCATCTGAAACTTAACAAAATATGACCCTGGTTGTTGCTGTAGTAAAATTAATGTGAGAAAATGAATATGTATGTTTTAAGTAATGTTATTTAATGTTAATAAATGGAACAATACAAGTAACTAACCACTAATGGTAAAGAAAAAAGAGAGTTGAATTGGGAACGTTAACGTACAGGTAGTTCTGCTATAACGCGATAATTATGTTCTTGTAAAATATCGTGTTATAGAAAATCGCGTAATAGAAATAACAGGGCTTATGGAGAAAATAGGGTTAGGTGCAGATTACTTGAAATCGAAAAAATTTAGTAGTTAGCCTAACACAAAGGATAGCACAGTCTAAATAAATGTTACATTCATATCTGATAATGAAATCATACAGTAAATGTAACACTTTACCTTGAAAAAATATGAATGTAACTTGATGGGGGAGAAGGGTGATTTTGAGGTTGATAAAATCGAGCTTCTCTTCAAGTGTTATATCCTTTCTTTTACGATCATCACCGGGAATTCTATCACCAGAAGGCTTCTTGGAGATATTCTTCTTTACCATATTCACAGTTAATACCACAAAATTGGAGAAATAGTAAGCAAAAATCGCGTTATAGCAAACAAGCGTTCGCGTTATACAAATATCGTTCCTAATTCATAAATCGCGTTAGAGCAAATTCGCGTTATCAAAACACGCGTTATAGCAGAACTCACTGTATGTAAGTGCGTACATGGGAAAACTTATAGTCATTTCTCTACTTAAGAATATGAAAGCAGCACTTATTACTGTTCATATATGTTTTAAATAAGACAGCCAATGAATGTTGTGTGAGTTTTTACTTAGATGACAAAGTTATCAGGTTCAACTCTGGCTGAAGCTGTAGCTTTCCGTAAAGATGTCATAGCTGTTGCTGAACCTGAAGTTGTTGCTGAAGCTGCTTATGATGTTGAATTTGATGGTGTAGCTGGTTAATGGTTTAGGCCTTAGAATAATAAAGCTGTTGAAAGAACCTTGCACAGATGCTTTCTTTTCTCATTATACATCTTTATGTAGAGGTCATATGCATTTTTCGCTTCCCTGTTAATTTAATGCTTCGTTCTGTTAATGGATCCACTTCAGAAAACATGTTCAATGCTTGCTCCATATAATATCCACAGACCTCTCACCCTTTTCATATCGTTTTAGCACATCTAGTTTCTTGGTTAAGCTTATACACTTTCTTTTAGCTTTTGAACCAGCACTACCATCACTTGCTCTCTTGATCATATTGAATAGGGAAGCAAAAATGCAGTAAGAAACCCAAGAAAGTTTTTTTTTCTTTTCCTGTTCAGATGCGTGAAAACAAAAAGCCCGCCAAGCTGCTACTGTTTATACTACTGATGCTGGCATCACCACTCACAAGCCGGGCAGCCTCCGTGTGCAAAGCGGTGTTATTTTATTTTATTTTTTGTTTAATACATATTTGGATTTAGTTATTACAGGTATTTATATGAAAAGTAATTTTATTTTATTTTTTATTCTATTTTCGTCATAATTACGAAGAAAATAATGGTGTAAATTGAATTGGGTCCTAAATTAACCAGGGTCTTAAATTAGAACCGTCGTTATCGGAGGCTTTCCTGCAGTGTGCTTTTACCATGATCTCAATAATAGTCACCAACCTGTATCCAGTACAGTATGAGCTATTACTGGTAACATAACCTTATCCAATCAGCCATTAAAGTCCAACTGGTTTACAGATGTCTAGAAAATTGGAGTTAGATACACATATCGTTGTCCTTGAAGTCAGACCCACCCACCTGGTTGAAGACATTGGCTGATTCGCTGTAGGGGCCATAAACCATCCCACACTTTCAGTACACTACAAAATATATATCCTGCACTAAGTGGAAAAAAGACTTGAAAAAGTATAAAAGGAAAAAAAGTAACCGCATTATCTTTTACAAATTTCAGCACTTATGACTCATCAATGACTTCCTCATCCTACAGATGGTGTTAAGTCATATTGATTCCTGTGTAGTTATTCATCAGTTTCTCTTATTCTGGACTAAAAGCATCTTTGTCAACCATCTCAATAACTCCCATTGTTTCATCAGTAACAATACAACACTATTATGACATGAGCAAACAAATCCAGCAGTCTCATGTTAGTAGTAAAAAACTAATAATTAAGAGATTAGCCAGCTGAGAGTTAAGACACTGGTAGAGAGGCAAGGAAGTGTAGGGAAATATGGCATAGATATAGGTGTTAGTTTATATTATTTTAGAAGGTTTTATATTGGGTTTAAATCCTGCCAGAGGATAAGTTATTGGTGGTATGTTTCCTTAATGTTGATACATGTTACCATAAGCTTTCCTTCAGACAGTAAAATATATCTTGTTTACATATTTTATTGAATTTAAGAATGTGTGACAAGTAGATGGAACTACAAGAAAGATGTTTGTAAAAATAGAAAAGTAAAACTTGCACTCAGCTGAATTTTTTTTTTTTTTTTATAATGCTCCTTTAATCATTGTTGCCATCAACAGAATTACTGAGAACATTCCCTCTTAATCTTGAGAACCATACCTAATGTATATTATAACTCGGTCTTTCAGTATATATTAAGCCACTTCAAAAATACATTCCACATATCTCCATTTTTATTTATTTCTCCTTTGTTCATCAAAGCATCACAGCCCACCTCACGCATTTATTATGATGGTGTGAGCTTGAACAATTTTATATTTATGTAAAATGTTTCTCCCTAATACACAGACATCTTGGCTTCACGCAGCTTCCTGTCTCTTTAATGTAATGTTTTGCAGAGGGTGACAAAGAGCCCCTGCAGAACTCATCCAAATCGTTATTGCTAATCTGTTATAAATCTGAATATCATTTACAACTGTCTATACAGCACTGTACTCTACACGAAGGAAAGTTTTGTAGATAAGCATTATTAATTTACTCCCCAAGAAATTGAGAGTATCGTGTAAGATTTATAGTTGAAAACAATCAAACTACTGTAATTAGTATAATGCTGTAATAATTGTATCTGAGTACTTATTGTGCTTTCACTTGTACAATGCATAAAACTGCCTGGTAGACTTAACAACGGTACAGTACAAAGTATCCCTGTATTATCATTTATTGAAGAGGTTGTTTACACTAAGATTGGGGATACATTATACAGTTTAATAGGTAAATTAATTATAATGTTGTATGTGAATTTAGGTGTTGTGAAGTACTGTACATCATTTTACAAAGATGTAGAAGTGCACTTAGTGTGAATAACTATTCTTCCAGTGGGACGGTCAAGCCACCCAGACTTGTCATCAGGGGCAGCTCTTCAGGTTGCCATCTGTCAGCTGGAGATGGACTTCTATCCCTACCATTTGGCAACCGGAGACAGAGGACATTGGATCAAGTGTGTATTTCATGATTTATGTTGTAAGGAGAAAGTGGAGCTGGAGCTATTGTAGCATCAGTGTTTAATTGAGATGACTAAATTATTCACCTTGTTGCGAGGCAAGTGCGCACACACGCATAGTTTATAGATTTTATCCTTGCCATCTGGAGCAGAATGTGAGGATGCATTCACTGTTTGGGAGTTGTGAACATGATAACTCAAACTAGTCTGGATTTTAAACAGACCTTTATAAGTCGATATATCACAAATATACTTGAGAAAGAATAAAAATTTAGCATATTCATTCAGGCTCATTGACTTTTATGCAGTGGTGCAGGAGACTTGTCCACCTTTACTGCCAACCTTCTCTTTTCTCTTCTTTTAAGTAATCAGTTTGATAATTTATAGATACTGTGCAGACTGTGGACCAGCATTATGGGCTCAGGAATCCATAGTGCAGTTTAAAACACTGCTTACGGACACCCTGAACTCAAGCCGGTCCTCTCACACCCCTCTTGCCCGTGCACCTCCACACACTCGTCATGGTCCTTCACATCAGGTGCGTTAATCATCGTCGTATGCTCACAATTACTGTAGTTGTTTTTTCATGTTAACTGCTTTGATTAAGTTAGGCTATCACCTGAAAGATCCACCATAAATTTGAGAAAGGATGTCACAGTACAGTACTTAGGAAGATAGCATTGACATATAACAGTGATGTAACCAAAACCACCATGAATGAGACCATTCTCAGTTTTAGCCTTTACGAGTCACCTAAAGAATAGCCTCCCAGATACCTGTACTCATAGTTTCAGGGTGGTAAGCTGGAGGGCAAAACTTTAGGTGAGTACTTCAGGTGATCCATAAAGCCTGAAAATGTGAATGGTCTCATTGTTGGTCTTAACTACATTACTGACAAGTATAGTAAAGGATGAATGGTTTGTTACATGAAGTAATATACGTATACTGTATAGTTCAGATTAGCTTAAACACCACAAGATATTATCCTTATAGTATAGAAAATAGATGAAGTGAAGTAACCTTAAGTTGTCTCCCAGATCTTGTAAGTAATTTTTGTTGTCAGGAAGAAACAGTCTATAAATCTGTAAAAAAATATTAAATTGATACTTTTTCCAGACCCCAGGAGGTCGAACAGGTCATGGGCCCGGTGAAGGTGGTGGTGCAACCCAGGGCAGCCCTCTTAAGGTTATGATTGCCGCACAACTTCGAAAGCTCATGTCATCTTGTTGCGTGCTTCGTGTCAGCGATTTTTGTGTTTACAGAGTGTCAACCACTAAGCGAAAACAGACTCCAAAAGAATTCATCTCAGGTAAATTATAGTATATTGTATCTCTGAATCTTTGTCTATTTGTGTAACTTTTTTCACTCTTTAAATTTAATGAAGAAAATGAGTGAGGCAACTTATTGTTAACAGGTAGTTTACACAAGTAAGTATGGGAACAAATAATGCTTATTTGTTTTGAGGTGTTAACTTAGCATGGGCTTTTATATCCCTCATATATATTTAAATTCCTCATCATTAACTTATTGCAATTTTTACTATCTTATTTAACCGTTGCATAATTTCATGTGAGTCCATAGTTTAGTAGTGGTGCGTTCTCTTCACAAGTGGATGGTCTTGGGTTCGATTCCAAGCCAGAGTGGAGGACTTTAGTTCTTTCATTGTATCCCCTGTGCAATTAAAAGTAAAATAAGTACACTACCGGTACTTGATGTGCTTGTTTATGGTGGAACACGCTTTAAATAAACTAGCATCCTACCAGTGGTGTATTACCTTCTAGCTGCTAAATGATAGCAGCTCAACACCTTAGTGAACTAGCATCCAGTTGGGGGGAGGAGGGGACCCACTAGCTGATGAATGATAAGATTTCATGGGGTCAGCTCTTCTCCACCTATCCTGTACCACAGCAGGAAAAGGCTAATATGTGACTCAGAGTTGCAAGTCAAATAGGTTCCAGTTATACTTTGGTCCAGGTTAAACTAACTAGAAAATTAGGACTGGGACACCTTATGTCCCGGGACCATTGGGATTGGGGATGACTATTAGGATTGGGTATTAGTCCAATGGTTTTGGTGGAGTTAGGTTTGGACTTGTTTTGATTGGGGCCCATCACTTCTCAGTAGACAATCTAATGAATCTCTTGGACTCTTTGTGAATGACTGTCCCAGAACCCTGGAGACTAATGTTAAGTTTCACACATACAGTAAGCCACAAATGTGTGTACGGCCACCACCAGTCGTAAGTGAACATTACCTGTACTTGTTTTGGTTTCCATAACACAAGTTGGATATGCATGTTTTTAAGTCAATATGGGTTAATGTGGTATATTTTGAATTGTGGTAGGGACCACATTTTATAAACTGCAAGGAAGTGCTGAGGATGAACAAACATCCCCTCAGGGGCATTATTTGTAGTCCTTTGTTTTGATGTTGGTCATTATAGAGTATATGGGCCCTAGATTATTAGGTTAATAATGACTGTGTTCAAATGCTTTCCATGCAATATAAGACATTTGGTCTACTCAGAATATAATCCATCTCTATGTCCTTGGTTGTGCATGAATGTACAGTACACTCAAATTTTGAAGTAGAGATGACGACTTAGGGCACACTAATATTATTATTATCACTCAGATAAAGCTCTTCATTTTATGTGGTAAAGCAGCTAAAAAGAACAAGTACAGAGAATGAGGCAGAGTCACTGTTACTCTAACTTCCAGCCAACTTGTACTGAACCATAGTCAAGAAGGAGTAAGATTTGTGTTCGAAGACTAAAATAAATCGCCCTCTCTAGTTTCACATTATTTAATATCATGCATTGCTAAGCCTTTAAGTGTTGATTCCCACACTGCCTTAGTCTCCTTTGTCTGTCATGCTGTGTCTATTCTAACTTGACTGTCTCTTACTTCCCATCACCATAAAGCTGGACACAACAAAAGGCTACGGAAGAAGACAGGTGATCTCATACGTTTGTTAGATACTTGCTCCTCTTGTGTGCTAAGTCCTCGTATTCCCCTTCAGGAATAATACTATTCCTGTAACCTTAATTGTTGGAGATTGCTGAAGGAAGGGGATGGGGTGCATGGCAGCAATGGCCACACATTCAGTGAATAAAGTTCTTCATGGCACCCTGTCAGTCTCTTTGATGATGTGTTTTAGTGCATCATATTTTTACAATCAAACAACTCATCAACTTTACTAATGGCTCTTCATATCAACTTTATTGCATTGTTGTCAACTTTGATTAATTTTTGTAAGGATACAAACCTCCTGTCACCGTTCTGCATGGTTAATATATTTTGTATAGTATATTAACCTCTGAATCAATACCAATGAAGACACAGCAGTTCCTAACAATAGTTGTAAAATTATTTCTTGTTTTTTGTTTTGTTTTTTTGAGACTATTTGTAAGTTGATCTTGCTTATACATTAGCTTTTCTCTGTTTGGTCAAAATCTATATTTATGAACAGGTGCTCCTCTACTTAAAAACATTCGACTTACAAACTTTCAGAGATGCAAACATTATCATTGAGGGGGCTACCTTCCACAGCAGGTGTTTAATGTGAATGAGACAGGGATTATTTTGAAGAAAATTCTAGATAGAACATGCATTACCTAAGAGGAGAAGAGTGAACCAGGTTTTAAGGCTGTATTGTATGGTATAGCTGTATTAAACATACATTATCTTTTCATTTTTGACAATAGTATGTTTGGTATCTACAAGAGTAATGTTGGACTAGCGAACACGTCTCAGAAACGCAACTCGTTCATAAGTAGTGGAGCGCCTGTATATATAAGTAGTTGGTGCTTGTACAGTTTTGTTCATTTATGCCCATTACCTTATTGTTAAGCTTACTTTTTAATGACAGCTGTATAATTTAAATAATTTACCGTAAATAACAGGGAGCACAGACTTCATGCCTTAGTTGTAGTCCAGCAAGGTTACTTTTATCATTTTATTCAGTGATGTCTATGATCACTTTATTTTTTGCACTTTGGAAATGTTCCAACTTTACCTCCTCATGGTATTTATTGTGAATACTCAGTGTTGTGTATACTGCATGCAGTGATTTATCTGTGAGTTGTTACTGAAGTACCACTGTACTCTACTGTAGCAGTATTGCTGTGTTCTATGCTACATGTAACATTAAGGCAGTAAATGAAGATAGGAGTTTTGTCTACCACTACACAAGTTGGTACAATATTACACACGTTGCAATCAACAGCTGATCTGCCTTCAAGGATACACATCACAAAAAAGTTAGTTATATTTTTATGACTTGAGTTTTAATATAGTCCTCGCTTAACATCGGGGTTACGTTCCTGAAAACGTGACGTTATACGAAACAAAGTTAAGTGGATCAATTTTCCCCAAAATAAATATATAAAATACAGGAGTTACGTTCCTGAGCCTCCCTTTGCCCCATGAAATGCATTATATATACTGTATACAGAAAATCATTGCCATTTCTATAGAAAATAGTGCATTCATATACAACTCCTAAGTTTGCGTTGGTACTCACCGATGGGTGGAGGTGGTAGAGCGTGTGTGTAGTGGGTATTGAAGCGGAGGAGGCGGATGGTAGGAGCGGAGAGGCTGATTGTGGGAGCGGAGGAGAAGGGTGGTGAGTCACTGAGACTGCAGCTGCCTCCTCCTGCTCCTCCTCCTGAGCTGATTGGGGTTCCTCTGCCACTGCTTGCTCCTCCTTCATTGATGTTTGCTCCTCCTTGGCTGCTGGCTGTTGCGACTAACGAGCCGATCAGTGGTGAAGAGGCTAAAGGTAACAGCTATATTCACGCCCGTATCATATAGAGCTTTTTTTTTTTAATATATTTATTTTACCAAACTTTTAGATAAAGTATACAGGATTATTTTGATAAAAAAAAATGGTGTGTCTAACGAAATTAGAACTGATTTTACTGATTCCGGTATCAACATTTCTGAAGTTTTTTTTTTTAATAAAAGAATGGAATTCCCATCACTATATCCTATAGAAATATTTCGTTTACGGATATCTTACTGGAAACGTTTTGTAGAGAATTTATTAAGGATCATTATGGTGTCAAAATCATCTCCCTATCACAATTACCCACGCTTGAGTGAGGAAGGGGGAGGGGGGGGAAGAGAAAAGTGACCGAACAAGCCCCCCACCCCCCAAAAAGGTTCGACTCCCACACTCTTCAGCCAAACATTACACCCACACATCACACACACACTTCAACAACCACCCACATACACACACCCTCCGACAACCACAGACACACTAGCAAGGCAGCTTCTTTGCACAAGGCGCTCTTCATTTTTTTACATTTTTTTTTATAATACATATCGGGGTTCAGTTATTATGTGAAAATTTTATTTTATTTTATTTTATTATATTTTTGTAATTAAATATTCTACGAATGAAATAAGGATGTAAGCTGATTGGGTCATAAATTATCTAGGGTTTAAAATCTGAAAGTTTGACGAATATGGTATTAATTGTTATATATATATACTTGAAATGGACGTTGTCCGATCATCACATAAACTTTGTGTTTATACTTACGTGTATGTGGAATACTATATACGTACATATACACTTTTTCTCTTAAATCCCTACTGTAATGTGATATAGGTGATTAATTTTTATCTCTTGTGCAAAATACGTGATGTTTATATTAAAATTATTCGCTGTCTTACAAGGATTCCAGCAATGCTGGGCAGATGGGGGAGAGAGAGGGAGGGAGGGAGCGAGGGAGCGTGGGGGGGGAGGGGAGCGGGAGGTGAGGTAGTATGTTTGACAGTTGGCACCTGCCCAAGGTCTAACACGTGTTTGTTTATCAGTTCTTAAGTGACTAAGCTTCTCTCTTATAAAAAGCCAGTGAAATGACCTGGGTGAATATAATTTACATTGCTGGGATTCTTGTAAGATAGTGATTAATTTAAATATAAACAACCTATAATTTGCACTAGACATAACAATTTTAGTACCGTAATCAAATTAGTACATGTGCACTCCAACTTTGCACTAAGGTCATTTATTTCTTTTACGTTACTTTTAGTATGGTGTGTGCATGTAAATGGATGAAAATAAATGAAGAAATTTATGTAAATCTACCCAAAAATACAGTTGAAAAACTCTATATTATAAAATGTACTACAGTACTGTACACTAATGTACTACAATTTTTATCTCTTGAGCAAAATATATGACGTATATATTCAAATTATTGGCTGTCTTGCAAGGATTCCAGCAATTCAAATTATAATCTTCAAACTTTAGTCTGAGATATTATATAAGATAAAAACTGAAAGCCTAAGACCCTGGCTGGGGGAGAGGGAGGGAGGGAGGGACGGAGCCATCCAGCCAGCTACGGGTGTTGGGGGGGGCTTGAGGTGATATGTTTAACAGTTTGAGGCGAAGGTCTGTGTGTTTATTTAACAGTCCTACTAAGCTTCTCTCATTTTAAAATGCCAGTGAAATGACCTGGGAGAATATAATTAACATTGCTAGAATTCTCACAAGACAGCGACCAATTTGAATATAAACATGCTAGAATTTGCATTAGACATACAAATTTTAGATCTAATTTAAGAATTTTATCACAGAGCAAAATTTTTTATCTCTTGTGCAAAATATATGACGTTTATATTCATAATATACACACTGTCTTGCAAGGACTCCAGCAATGCAAATTATAATCTAACTTTAGTGTGAGATATAATGTAAGATAAAAACTGTAAGCCTAAAACCCTGGCTGGGGAGAGGAAGGGAGGGAGGGAGGGAGGGGGAAGTGAGGTGTACTTTGACAGTTAAGGCGAAGATCTGGTGGAGTATTTATTTGTTTATTTATGTTTAAATTAGTTTTTGTTTTTTGCTCATAAAATTTCATAGAAATGACCGGGGAGAATATAATTTTCATTGCTGGACTCCCCACAAGACAGCGATTAATTTCAATATAAACAAGCTATAATTTGCATTAGACATACAAATTTTAGATCTAATTTAAGAATTTTATTAGAGAGCAAAATTTTTATCTTTTGTGCAAAATATATGACGTTTGTATTCAAATCATCCGCTGTCTTGCAAGGATTCCAGTAATGCAAATTATATTCTCCCAACTTTAGTCTGTGATTTTATATAACATACAAACTTAAAGCCTATTGTATAACCAGAAACCTTCACTGGGAGGAGGTTGGGGGGAGGGAGGGGTGACAGTGACATGTTTGACAGTTGGCGCCTGTGGTGAGAAGTATTTAATTGTTAATTTATGTCCTTTAGGTTGAGTTTTTGTTTTTTGCTTATAAAAGTTAATAGAAGTGACCAGGGTGAGGGAGGTGTCAGTGGTGGTGTGAAGTAGGTGTTGGTAGTGCTGTGAGGGAAGTGTTAGTGGTGATGTGAGGGTGGTGTTGGTGGTGGTTTGAGGGAGGTGTCAGCGGTGGTGTGAAGTAGGTGTTGGTAGTGCTGTGAGGGAAGTGTTATGGTGATGTGAGGGAGGTGTTGGTGGTGGTGTTGGTGTGAGGGAGGTGTTGGTGGTGAGGTGTTGGTGTGAGGAGGTGTCAGTGAGGTGGTGTGAAGTAGGTGTTGGTGGTGCTGTGAGGGAAGTGTTAGTGGTGATGTGAGGGAGGTGTGGGTGGTGGTGTGAGGGAGGTGTTGGTGGTGGTGTGAGGGAGGTGTTGGTGGTGGTGTGAGGGAGGTGTTGGTGGTGGTGTGAGGGAGGTGTTAGTGTTGGTGTGAGGGAGGTGTTGGTGTGGGGAGGTGTGGGTGTTGGGTGTGGGGAGATGTGGGTGGTGGTGTGGGGAGGTGTCGGTGGTGGTGAGGTGTGGGTGGTGGTGTGGGGAGGTGTGGGTGGTGGTGTGGGGAGTGTGGGTGTTGGTGTGGGGGAGGTGTTGGTGGTGGTGTGAGGAGGTGTGGTGTAGGAGGTGTTGGTGTGAGGGAGGTGTGGGTGGTGGTGTGAAGGTGGTGTTGGTG